GGGATGGTCAGAGAGCCTTCAGAGCTGTTGGCAGCTAAGGGAAATAAAGACAGTTCCAGAAGGAAAGGAGAAGAGAATGCTCTCAATAGTGATTCCACTGACAGCCTAAACCTTGCTGCACTCTGGAGCTTGCTGTGGATTGGGTTCTGTGGGAAATACAGTCCCAACTTGTATTGAGATTTTTTTTTTTTACTTTAGTTAAAACTCTTGATAAGTAAACTTTAAAATGTGATTGGAAGCCTCGAACTATGGCTGATGTGTCTCACAGTCTATTTTAACATATCAAAGGCCATAAGAAACCTTGAAGTATAGATTTAAAGTACTTATTTTATTTAACATACTACCTCATAGAGGTTTGATCAGGGCATTACGGACTGGGAATTATACATCCTAAGCACACAGAAGCCTAGCTGCAAGCTGGCAAATAGAGAGCAGTTTAATATCCCAGCTGGGATTTTAAAATGCTAAAAGTAAAAATTTATTTGAAAAAATATGACATTTTGGGGGAAAAAGTAAAAATTTATTTGAAAAAATATGACATTTTGGGGAAAAATCTTGATAAATAAATCAATAAATTTTGAATTTTGTCAATATAGTATGACCAATCTACAAACTTTCTTTTCTCAAACAGGTTAGTCAGTACACTTTTGCTATGTGCAGTTATAGAGAAAAAAAATCTGAACCACAAGAATTAATGCAGCTTGAGGGATACACTGTGGATTATACAGATCCCCACCCAGGTAATTCTAAAGAGAACCACTTATCCTGCCATGCCTGAATACATGAAATCCTCACAACTATTCTGTGTCTTTTCTGCATTTTGTGCCTGAGTTGGTGAGTAAGATACCTGGAGAAGACTATGAGATGAAAATTGTATCTTTTGAGATCTGTTATTTTCAGCCATAATTCATCATCTCTGGTGTTTTAGTACAAAGATGAAATATGTAAAGTCACTTTGATAAAGTAATTGTATGGAAAACGTCAGCACTCAGTACATAAACTTATTCCTTGGAAAGCAAAACTGGCAATGAAAGGGAACAAAATGGCAAGCGTGCCATACATTATATTCCACTAAATTGTCTCAGAAGCCACATTCTTATGTTTTTCTCTTGCCTTTTTTTTTAACATAAAATGAGCATGCCGAGCTCAAAAACCTCCATTTTCTGAATCTGGAATATCTCAGAACTGGAAAGCAATCCTAGAAGTGGAAAATTCTACAAGTCTTCTCCTGTGACCCCAACAATTAAAGCACAGAGGCACTAAAAAGATTACATAAAATTACTTTCAATTTATGCCTACAAGAAATATAAATGTATTTTGTAATCAGACTTGGGTCCTGTTCCTAAAATAACT